TCTCAGAGTGATCGATTACCAGTTGTTTCTCGTTCTCACCCACTGGCATCAGGCAGCATGACCGTGTTTATCCGACTGTTCGCGTGGTGTGAGAACTAAGAACGCCATGGTAAAACGGCTGGGGTTTAGTTTATATGACTTCGTGTGTCATGAGTGGAGCGAGTGGAGCTAAGCCGATGGAGCTAAGCCTTGGATAGAGCTATGCAAGTCGTAAAGATGAAGCAGACTTAGCAGAGATATTGTCTGTTGCATGGGCGGATCGAGCAAGTCGGTTTCGGACCTTACGGGGAGATTAAAAACGTTTCTCCAAATAAAAAAAAAAACTACTGGGATTTCAATTTCATCGCATTGCTGTGCCGTTTATAGCAAACTTTTTCCGATTAAAGCTTTTTGGGTTTCTGTCTATTTTATAAAAACGGCATATTGTCGTCAATTTCAGGTACCGCGGGGGTGCTTCCTCCCAATGCCCTCTCCTGGATCTGTTCACTGTTGACAATTGACAGGATTCGCTACGAAGCCGGCTCCTGAAATAATATATTTGTGCGGTGTACATCAACTCAGAAAATTAATTCACCCGGCCCGACCATGAGCTCATGACCTTAGTCAAGACTAAATGCCTGACCTTGCGCCGATGGGCTATTGTACTCGTTGGATGAGTGTTTATGTTTCCCTCTCGTTGTGCACCGAGTTCTACTGTGTTTATTATAAAAAGGCTGGGCCGGTGATACTGTCTTATCCCTTCGCCGCACATTGTTTTGGTTGGTTGACCGAACCATATAGGACATTGTCTTGTCGCATTGGTCATGAATTGATTAAACCGGTTTTAGAGGGGTTTGTTTTTGCGACGGACGTAGGCGATAGCAATGATAGGGCCGGTTTGGGATTTTTGTTGTGTATTTTTGGTCAACATTGCTTGTAAGTCACCCACGCAGTGTTTATCAATACGCTTGCAAGTTGCATCGGTAGATATATATGACAAGAAATTATAAAGCGGATTGTTCGATACGTAGTTATACCCGTGCTGGTACTCAAATATTCTCGAATTCATCGCAATACACTACGTATAGCAGGTCAAGTGTCATATAAGCGACCACATGCGTCGCAGCACCAAACAATGCGGTAGGTATCGCGAGTCGATTTGAGTTTCACATCCGGAATCGATGGCGCATCAGTCTTTCCTAAATCCTACCGCAGCATTTCCATGTGATCATGTGTCGTCATAAACTATAGCGTTGAAGCATAGAGCGGCTATGCTACATGACAGCGCAAATAAATTCGCCTCCCCCACACGCAACTACAAAACCTTTTGCTCAGGGCTATTGCTGGAGTGGCATCATGTCACGCCGCCGATCAAAGGCAGAACCGGAGCGATACACTGGCGATTCCCGGGCGATACACGGGCGATAGACGGGCGATACACGGGCGATGGTCGGCCGGACCTGACTCAGTTCGACTGGCACACGTTTTGTTTTTGTTTTTGTTTTGTTGGGTTAGGCCCTTTCGGTCGACAAGACCATTGCAGAGCCGGAAGGATGATAGGAAATAGGGGGAGACATTGGTCTGGGCAGGCACCCTAGAGAGTCGCCGGGGCTGAGCCCGTCCAAATGGACAGGCCGACCAGCCCCCCAAGCACCCTCTGCACCCGGCTACGGGGTGCAGCTCCCTCGGGAGCAGCGGCGCCGCTCCAAGGGAGCAGCCCGCATGAGATAAAGTTGCCTGTCCAGCCCGGTAGGGGGTTGCGGCGTGGAGGAGAAGGATTTCTGTATCCTGAGGATAGAAGCACGGATAGGTGACTGGCACACGCAGCAGGACCGGTGGTTATGTCAGCTCACGTAGTGTGTTCGCTGAGGAATGTCAGAAGCGGTAGGTGAAATCACGAACCACCAGCTCAGAGGTGCGGATGTTTCTGGCTGGCGACAAGACAAGAGCACTGGCATTGATGACGTGAGTCAAACATGGTAGCTTATTCATATAGGTACCTGCGTGGGTGACTGAATATGCTATTAATGATTAGAAGGAATGAAACACTACCTATCGTGAAAGGAGCATAACATTATTGTAAAATCACTGAATAGTAGGTATCCAGCATCTGCAGAAGAATAAAATAAAAAAAAACTAGGCGTCTGAAGCTTGAGTACTCTTGGTTGATGTCATCTGACATACAATTAGTTTTTCTTTTCTTTTCAAGTGCCTAAAGCATGTCTTCTTTCTGCAGAGATGATCGCATAAACGGATCCAATTTTTGCAACTCCCGGCTCGTCTTTTCTCCTACTGATGTCGCTGAGTCAGTCTGACTAGTGACTAGTCTCTCTGCATCCCGGCACTGTTTGGCAGACATAACCACTGCTGCTCTTGAAAGCTCTCGTTTACCTGCAGACACAGCCGTGCAAGAAAGTCTCACTTTTCCTCATAGAGAACTTCCTGCTCGTGAATCAAAATTTTGGGTCAATGTGGGGATTGATTGTTGATCGGGGCCCTCCTTCCTATTGGCGCCCTCCTGCACATCGATCGCAGCCCTTCTACCTGGCGGCCTCCGTTGATCGTTGCCCTCCTATCATTTATCTACTCCTATAGCATGTTTCCCAGCGTAACTGTTCTCTTGCACATATTTGACGCCTTTTCTTTGACATTGCCACAAATGAACGTGCATCCAATACAATGATGAAGTAGGCATGTCACTAAACTGTTCACGCTCCACCATGCATCAAACCCGTCTTGGTCTTAACAGCTCGATCTTACAAGTTACAATCATGACATTTACATGGATCACGATAATGTTATCGATAGGTGCGGCCGCAACAACAAGCATCTGAATTTTCGGTGATTGAAATTGGCTATGTGCTTAACGCTGAATGTACCCGTGAGAAGGCTATAGGGCTGATCTGAGGTAATCTAGATGGCAACCCCGAGGAAGCTAATCCGATCTCATGAGGAGCAGTCCTATTATGCTATCTTTCTGTTGCTGCTGCTGCCTTCTCGTTGTGAGCTTGTGTTTACGCACCTCGTGCTCGTATCAAAACGATACGCGGTGATCTGGTGTGGATGCCGCCACCAATAAACTTTTTCTACTCACCCATGGGCAGAGCTTCCTGTACAGTTGGTGTGGCAGCAGCCCCACCTACCCTTATTTTTGCCCCACCAACTTTGCTAAAACAGCGAGAAGAGCTGTTTACATGGATACCGATAATGTAATCAATAGGTGCGGCCGCTTGTGTTCGCTGATAACAGTGAACACATATCAGGTGTGCATAAAAAGCGGAGAAAGAGACTGTTTTCGAAAATTTCGCGCGCCTTCGGCGCAGCATTTCAAGAACACTTTGTCAATAAGAAATGTGTACCTATGCCAATCACTTGCAACCTTTTTGTCATGTGTGAGATTAACTTGATGCCAAGTTTCGCAGAACTCAGAAGTACTGCGCGTCGCGGATTTCCATACACACGCAAAAAAAAACTGGTGGAGTGGTAAAAATGTCCCCCCCCCCCTATTCCTGGGCGATCGTTATTATTTTTTCATTTCGTAACCGTATAATGGCACCCTCCTTGGGTCAGGTCAAGGTGGCGCCATCCTAGCCCTTGCTCTTCGCGATTTTCTAAATACGCCGCTGATCGGTGGGACGTCGTACGGCGCATGGCAATTTACGTCTGAGCGGCAGTTGGCTAAGGTGGGCTTCTGGCATTTCCGTACTGGAGGCAGGAACGTTGGGGGGGGGGGGGTTCAGTGTCAGTACCAGGCAGTTTTCAGTCTTAACCCTCGCATGTGTGCAGCGTTTGCCAGCTTCTAATGTGTAGGGGGGGGGGGCGGTTGGACGCCCCCCCCGCCTTGCCGTTTGGCCCCTGATCGAGCTAGAGCTTCGCGGTAAAAACGAGCGTATTGCCCGTGACGAGAGGAAGCCGATGATACCCAACTTTAAGGTCCTAGGTCATTGGTTGACCTTCCAGGTCAGGTCAATGACCCAAAGTCGGGAAAATCGCAACCTGTTAGAAAGTCGTAAAGTGTGGCCGCTATGGGGTTTTTCGGGGTGCTGATCACGAATATTGTGTCAGTTTTGATCATAGATGATGTCTTCATGCATTTATACCAGTTCGGGTCAGGTCAGGTCAGGTCAACCAGGAGGCGTCGTGACGGGTAATCGTAGTACGTGTCAACCGCCCCTGACAGCTTCGTAACATGTTACGAAGGCACCAAAACTACTTCGTAAATGTTCAAATGGTTGCTAAATTCGAATTCAGCTCAAAAACTAGCCTAGAAACATGTACAGCTCGAAAAAGTGAACCGAGGTCACCAAAGGTCAATGACCTGACCTGACCTTCAGGTGACCTTGACATCCACCCAAATGCATGGGAGCAACATCAAATCTCATGTTTGAGCGTTTGAAACCACGAGAAGCTTGCAAACGCGCGGCTAATGCGAGCCGACATAGGTACTCCGAATCGCGATTTCGGCCAAACATGGCCTCGAGAAATAGGTCACAGGTCAAAGGTCACTTGGGTCAGGGTCATGAAATTTTCATAGTAGGTGTCAAATTGATCAACTCGAGTGTACTGAAATTTTCGTCGCGATCGGCCGCTTTTTGCGCGAGTTATTCGCGAAAAACCATGGGGGGGTCCATCCGACCCCCCCCCCTACACATGCGAGGGTTAAGCTCTGCAGTCTTCACTTGCCAGGTCGTAGAGTTATCGCGGGATTACCTATCACATCGATACGTTAGCGGGAAATGTTGCACAGTTGTTAAAAGAGCTCACTCATGTAGTAAAACTTTGATAAGACCAGAAAATACAGTTTGCTGACGTTACCTGACTTATTGGCTCGATAAGGAAGCTTTAGGAAAGATATGCTAATCATCCCATAAGACGCAGTAAGCACTTGGTATTAGCGTGACCGGTGACATTTCTCATCCCTCGAGGCCAGTTCAGTACTCCGATAGCGTCGTGCACACTAGTGTCAACCTGTGAGGGGGTCAGGGCTCCTCAGTCGGTATATAGGGCCTTGCCTCAGTCGACCCGACACCCCCGTCCGGCGTGGCTGTGACCAGTGCGCCATGGTGCTCCTGCTGACCATCCTGTTGACGGCGGCTGCCGGCGGGTGGGCCGCCCAGCCCTCCGACTGCTCCTCCGCCGGCCAGCTCGTCTGCAGAGACCACAACAACGACCCGGTCGACTGGTACGTGCTGTATAAGCTGCCCATCCTCACCGACGCCACCGGGTTCGCCCGCAAAGGCTTGGCATACCTGCACATCTCTTCGGCAATGGCATCGACGGAGACCCCTTGGAGCTTGTCTGAAGTGTCCATCGAAGACAAAAAATCTCACCCAGGTCGAACGTTGGCACCCGTTTACAAAAACCACGGACGGGAGGGCCTTTTTTACCGTTTTTACAACGACCACTGGCCAGAATATGAGAAGGCGGTGGGGTCTGAAGGTCACACCAAGGGGGTGCTTGCCCACGAAGGCAATTGTGGATTTTGGATGATCCACACCGTGCCCAGGTTCCCTCCAGCGCCGAAAAAAGGAGCAGGCTACAGATACGCAACCGGCACACGACCTTGGACCGGCCAGAGTTTCCTATGCATCTCGTTCCGTACTGATGGAACTGATGCTACTAAAGGAACTGATTCCGAACTAGACAAGATAATCAATCAGTTGAGCATTACAAAACCCTATTGTCACGCTTGGAAAGACCATGATGATAAGCCAATAGACCGAGAAGAAGACAAGCCCCACTACAGCCTATGTCCGGACAACCAACCATATTTTAAGCAGGTGGACATCGCTACTACTGCCGAAGGCGTGAAGCTCACCACATTCGCCAAGAGCAGCAACTACCGCCACGACCTGTACAGCGGTCTGGTGGCTCCGGCGCTGGAGACCGACCTGTACGCAGAGACGTGGCGGCGGGCCCCATTCTCCCTGCCGTCCTACCGCTACCCCGACTCTTATGAAGTGGAGAACGTCTGCAGCGTCCGAGTCATCCAGGGCAGGAGCGAGCTCGACTTTGAATACACCAAGGATCACAGCAAGTGGGCCGTGTCCAAGGACGGCAAAGAGCCATGGGTCTGCATCGGCGATCTCAATCGGATGGAAACACAGAAGAGGAGAGGTGGCGGCACCGCATGTCTCAAGAATCACAACCTCTGGAAGAACTTCCGTAAAGCGGTGAACAATAATGAATGCATGGGCGTCGAAGACGGGGGGGACGGAGGGCGACCCGGGCGGGGCGGACGGACGGAGAAAAAACGCTCAAAACTCGCCGCCACCCGGGCGGGGCGGGCAGGCGGCCCAAAAAGAAAAGCGCTCAAAAACCGCCGTCACCGCTAGGGCGGCTACCCGAACCCTTACCGGCCCTGGGGAGTTAAGGCGAAACTAATCCAGGCAAAACTGATTGGGTTACACCTGTCAATTAGTTCAAGCGCTTCACCAGCCAAACAAAACCGCGGCACTCCTGGGCTCCGCCACCACCGACCGAGGGACGGGCCACGCACGCGTCCACACCCTCTGACCGTCTAACCGCAACTCCGCTCTGCATCCTCTTTTAAGTACCCACATATGTATTTGCCGCAAACGGCGCACCACCTCTGAGAAACGTTACACAAGCGACTCTCTCGCTACCAAGGCATGGATCGCATGGAGGCGCCCCTATAAGCTTCATAGGCGCCCCTCTTACTCACCCCATTCCCTTAGCTTAGGCAATGGATCCCCCCACCCCTTGAGGGATGGCGCCCCCTATAAGTTTGTCCTCACCATTTTTTTTTATAGCCTGGTAACGATCCTCGATACCGGTGAGGAAAAGTGGCCCCTCAGGGGGACGGTGGACGGAAGGAAATGGTCCCCAAATGCACGGAATGTATGAGTTATCCCCGTTTTAATGAATGCTTCTGGACTATACATAAATGCTTCGTTTTTATTTCAAATGCGTAACATCATGAGACCTAAAATCCCTACAGCACACCGACAAGTAATCTCACCTGAATAAGACAGCTTTGTTGAGCAGAACTACTAAGTTCTTGTATCAAACTTGTCGAACGGGATGCAAAATTAATGCACTTTGGAGCTGTTTTGCCAAGTTGTTTTTAAAATTTTGGTGGCACTGCGCGCCGCCCATTTCATACACCAATAAAAAAGGCGATTGTGACTAATATCGCCCCCACGCGGGGAGGAGCGTTCCTAAATGCATTATCTGATTGGCGCCACACGTATTGAGAATAGAGATGTCAATCTGCTACAAACTTTTTGGTTTCCCGATACCAAACGTCAAACGAATAACCAGCTTGGTATTTCGTGTGTCAATCTTAATGGTTTTGCCATTTTGTCGGTAAGCATAATAAATTCTTACTTTTAGATATATAGGAGCCTGTGAATTTGGTAAAAAGCCATTATTTCTCTTGGTTTCCCAGCCTGGCTCGGTTTGGGTACTTTCCCGTGATCTTGGCTGGAATTCGGCTGGTATCAGTATCCCGATTTTTTGGTAATTGAAATCACTAATTGAGCACTAATGAACATCCACAATTTAAAACTTAAAATAGACTGTTGGCGGAGAGGTTTCGTCTATCGACATCATCACCGTTATAACCGAAGTGTTATGGTCAAAAGTTAAAAACAGTTTGGTAAAACGAATTGTTCTTGACACGTGTACCGAATGTCAGTCACGTTTGCATGAAGCACGTGTAAGCACAAAATGTCCGACCAATGGGGGGGGGGGTACGTTCTTCTGTGCACATGCATTCGTGATATTGTCTGATCATGTCTACACCAACCACCTGGAACTGGCCTCTGTGGTCTGTCTGACAGCAAGCCTTGCTTTGTTGGACCGTCTTACAAAGGCTCAGTAAATGACCCGGCCTGAATCCGACCAGCGATGATGCCTGCAACCATCAATCCCTGTGTGACTGCTCCCCTCCGTTGCCAGGCGATTGCCTTCCTCCCATGAGCATTCCCTGTAAGAGTGTGTATCGGTTTAGGCGTAGCCGAGTAGGTAGGAGGGCAGTCACCAACTGTTTGCAGTTTTGACTACTTTGCCTCGCTTTTGCTAGTATACTAACAGCATGCTTAGTGCTTACCCCACCTATATTTGCTTTTTCCTACTCTTAGCTGGGAATGCCGCTTTTTATCATATTTAGTTATGTGGTGTTTAACGTAATGGTCTGTCATAGACCTCTGTACGCGTTCACGTATTTAAGCTGTATAGAGGTCTATGGTTCTGTGTGTCACTAGGATAGAGAAAGGGGACACTCCTGGTCATCTGTTCATGGGTGGCGGTGTATAAAAAATGTACCATCGGGCATCGATCCCTCGTGTGTGCCCCTGGGGGTTTGGATTTGGAAGCGGTGCGACGTGTGATTTTTGGGAAAGGAAGTGTTGAATAAAATTGCTGCTCGTTGGAGGTGTTTTTATTGTCTCTGTTCTGTTCTTTCCTTTTGAATGACATCAAAAATGTTCATCCCTCCGAAGGTATTTTTCAAAAAAAAAAAAAATCTGAACGCTTTGCCAATAGAGAGCTGAACGTTGGCATACCTAACCTTTTATAAAGTCGGATTTTACGATACAAACCGTGGTTTCATGTGGGGCCAGGTCGCTCACTGACCGACTTATGTCGTTCAGACTGTCAGACTGTCTGACTGTCAGATTGTCAGACTGTCAGACGGTGCTGCCGAGGCAAGGGAAGCCTGGGGAGATAAGAGAAGAATCTGGGGAGTTGGGAGGGGAGTCTGGGAGTTGGTCTGGGGGAGTCTGGGGAGTTGGTCTGGGGGGAGTCTGGAAAGGTGGGAGGGAAGACAGGTGGTGAAAACTGCTTTGAACTTCAAATACGGTAAGTTTAAAGATCTGTAGACCTTTATGTATATTTTCTATGGAAGACCTACGGAAGAAATATTACTTTAGACGTTCGCAAAGTAACTATGTAGTTATGCAATGTTATTTCTAATAATAGGATGATTTAAAAACATAGTACCTACCTACGTAAAAACATGTTCCTGCTAAACACTGAAAAATAACAGCACGTTTTTCCTAAAGAACTGCAACCTTTTACGTAACGCCCAAACGTCAAACATGACGTTTACCTGCGGTGAAACGTTAACGTAGTGAAAATTCGAACACGTCTGCGTAACTCGGGAGAATACTGTTGGACGGAGCTTACACCACACTAACCGACATCGGTCCGTATAGTTAGCGTGTAAACCGGAGACGCGGTGCCGTCTCCCCCTCCCACTATCTCTATTCTCTACCCCATTACCCCAACTGCGCTTCCCCTGACCTTCAAACGTCTCAAAAAGTAATCTTAGGAAGTTAGGAGTTAGGAACTTCCCATGGTCGACCATGCGTGAGCCCTTATGAGTGTTCAGCATTCGTTTGACGGTACCGAGTTCGCTGAGCATTTGCACCTCCGGATCTGGAGACCCTCAGGCAGCGATAGACGCAAGGGTTTCGTTTCATTGTCTTGCAAGGGAAGCATTCAGTGTTACAAACTACCTAAATGGTTTGCATCCGACTATTCAGCTACACTGGATCCTATAGCTGCCAATAACCCTCACCCGTAGTACCATTTTCACAGCCTCACTTACCCTAGCGACCCTAGCGTATGGGGGACGGGGTCAGGGGGTGGGGGCCGATCAGACCATATTAGTTTGTAGCAGGGTGTGCCCTCGCATGCAGCCATGCTCGCATCGCTCGCCGGGTCTCAGAGTGATCGATTACATCATCACAGGATGTTTCCTGTTCTCACCTTCTGCCATCAGGCAGATGGCCTTGTTACGCTGACTTCTCATATACGGGTGTGACGTGTGAGAAGTGTGAGAACTAATAACCCAAGTGGAACGGTCTCGGGTTTAGTTTATGTAACTTCATGTGTCATGCGGCTTAGCTAAGCCGGTGAACCGGCCTTGGGTGGAGCTATGCCAGTCGTTAGAAGAAGCAGAGATGTTTTCTGTTGCATGGGCGGATCCAGGCGGTCTCGGACACTGCAGAGGGATAAACCCCAAAAGCGTTTCTAAAAAAAGCTCCTGGGATATCGATTCCATACGCATCGCTGTGTTGTTTACAGCGAACTTCTCTGATAAAAGCTTTTGGTTTTCTTTATAATTTATTAAAAAAGGAAACGGCCAATTCTTACCGATTCCGGGCGCTGCGGGGAACATTTCCACCGCATTCCCCTCCCGCCCTGGATCCGCCAGTGGTCAGTTGACCTTGTCCGGTTGTCTACGAAACTGGTTTCTGAAATCAGTTACCAAGTATATTTCCGTGGTGTATATCAACTCAGAGGGTTAATTCACCCGGTCCGATCATCAGCTCATGACCTTAGTCACGACTAAATGCCTGACGCCGATGGGTGCCGACGGGCTGCTTTACTCGGTGGATGAGAGTTTATATTTCCCTCTCACTGTGCACAGAGCTCTTCTTCGTTTATAATCAGAACGGCTGGACTGGTGTACTGTCTTGTCCTTTCGTGTTGGGTGACTGAATCCGATAGGACGTTGTCGCATTGGTCATGAATCGATTAAACCGGTTCTATGTAGAGGCGTTTTGCTTTGTTGAACAGACGTGGGCGATAGCAATGACAGGGCCGGTTTGGGATTTTTGCCGTGTGTGTTTTTGTCAACATCGTTTGTGAGCAACCTACGCAGTGTTTGTCAATACGCTTGCAAGTTGCATCGGTAGATATATATGACAAGAAATTATAAAGTGGTTTCTTTGATATGCAGTTATCTATACTTGTACTGGTCTGGTACTGAAACGTTCTCGAATGCATCGCAATACATGGGTACGTAATAGCAAGCAGATCAAGTGTTATAAGCGATCACATGCGCAGCACCAGACAATGCAATAGGACCGCGATTCGATTTGAGTTTCACATCCGGAATCAATGACGCATCAGTCTTCCCCCCCCCCCCAGCATTTCCATGATCGTGAATCGCCATAAAATTTGGTATTGAAGCACTGAGTGGTTGCATGACAGCGCAACTAAATTCCCCTCCCCCACACACACCTACAAAGCTTCTCGATATGTGTTATTGCAGGAGCGTCGTCCTACAGACATGAACACCGAACACAGCGAGCGCACCGATCATTTCTCACTGCCGTTTAAGGGCAAAACCGGAGCGATACAATGGCGATTCCTGGGCGAAACACGGGCGATGATAGGCCGGACCTGACTCAGTTCGACTGGCACACGCAGCAGGGCCGGTGGTTATGTCAGGTCACGTAGCATGGTCGCTGAGGAATGTCAGAAGAGGTAGGTGAAATCACGGACCGCCAGCTCGGAGGTGGGGCTGGCGGATGTTTCTGGCTGGCGAAACAAACGCTGCATTGATGACCTGAGTCAAACATGGTAGCTCATCATACGTGGGTAACTAAATGCGCTTTTACTGAATTAAACGGAATAATGAAAGGAGCATGCCATTATTGTGAAATCACTGAGTATTCTCCAGCATCTGAAGAAGAATAAGAAAAAAAAACAAAGGCACTTGAAGCTAAGTACTCCCTGTTGATGTCATCTGACATTTAGTAAGTTTTTTTTTTCTTCAAATGCCTTTAACATGCCTTCTTCCCGCAGAGATGATATCATAAGCGGGTCCAATTTTTGCAGCTCCCGGCTCGTTTTTCTACACCAATGTCGCTGGGCCAGTCTGACTAGTCTCTACATCCCGGCACTGTTTGACAGACATAACCACTGCTGAGCATTTATTCATTAAGGCTTAGTCGAACTGGATTTGCAACAATGCACCTTGCAGTGCCACCTTAGCAGCGCATCAGGCTTCGTGTTTGCAAACTTGATCGGCGCATAATCACAAGGCTTAATACCGTTATTTTCCCGTTTGACGATGCCGCGGTGCAAGTTTGAGGCCACCTGCATTCAAATGAGATTGTTTGCTGCAATTTATAGAGCACACGCGTGATAAAAAAATGCGTGACTGCACCTAGTGTTTGAGACGGGACACGTCAAGTGTTATATAACGAGCTTTGATCGGCGCAAAGCTCAGCTTAATCGACGTATGGCTTATTAGATAGATACATGAGTTTCGTTATCGACGAAGGGTCCAGGAATCGTCCAGTTTCAAGTAATTGCGTCTACAAAAAAGACGCCAACAGACCCATGGTTACTGAAACAAGCTGCAGAGTACAGGACCATTTGGGATTGAAACTGTAGATAGTACAAATCTTCCCTGACCTCCCGCGGTCGCGAGACGGTGTCTTGAACAGCACGATCGTGCGGGGTTCCGGACGCTCGAGCCGGCTCGCAAGGTTAGACACATTCCTACATATGTTTGACCTTTGAGTTGATTAACATAGCAGACGGACACACCGATGGCGTATGGATGACTTTTCAGGCTCCGTGAAAAACGATACTTGCTCGGTACTTATATGATAAAGTGTATATGCATCTCTGGATTCATATATTGTTTGAAATCTACCAGCAATGTTTTTTTTTTTCGGGAAAAGTGTTTAAATGTCTACTCATAGATAACAATGGTCTACTAATACACTGTCCAGTTAATTCCTCAGTTTCAAAGTATCGACTTCCTACAACACCAAAGCATCCACAAAACATGTCAACAAAATACGCATTGCAGCACGAAAGTATCGGTCACACCCGTTGTCACGCGTTCCCCTGCCTCAGGCCTTGGGGTGTATTGTATTGAAAGCCCGGTCAGCGCCTCAGGCTATCATCAGCTGACTGGCCCCGTTCGTCGGCTCAGCTGGCGGCAGCCAGGCAGCGGCCGGCCGGTCGTAATCCACACCATTCAAACCGTTCAGCGATACTGGACGACCCCTCATGATTTGGAGTCCCCTGTAGGTCGATAACCTTCAATGGAAATGCTGCTGATGTTTATTTATCGTTGACTGCCTAGCGGATTGGCACGGATGGTACTTGGTAGTAGGGGAGAGTGGGGTGGGTTGTATCAGTTTTTACTCCGAGACCCATAACCTCGTAACTATCCGTGATAAACTCATTATTTCCATACTATCCCCTTCCTTGGTTCTTCTGCTTTTTTGTGCAAAGTAACTTTTCCGCTACCTCTACCAGTTTTTTTTCTACGGTCTCCCGAATAGAACAATGTTTTTGATACAACTTGCCCCATGGCTTGGGTGAGTTGTATCACATGGTGGGGTAATTTGTATCACTATTTCACGTTTCAGGGAGTGTGCTTGCTACTGGTTTTGAACATAACAACAACATTAAATGGGGTTAATACAATGTATAGGTATGTTCAAAGGCTTCACTTTATTAGACCAAACTTAGGTCAATGCAATCCGAACGAAACATCAACAGACTAGACGCAAAAGTGGCCCGTTAAGAGCAAAGAAGCCAACACATTGTGCCGAAATGGAACGAGCATTGACTAGCTACCTACAAACGCGAGCCAAGGCTTAGCTTTCG